AGAAGGTGGAGAGGGGAAATAAATAGATAAATTGCCAAGAAGGGCATTCTGTGATAAATAAATCGGCAAGTAAAGAAGCGAGATTAGAGGACCCAGGGTTTGTTCTGGGAAAGAACCCTAGTGTGTGCGGGTGAATTAGGGCGAGAGAGATGCAGGAAGACCCCCTGAAGGAGATGCGGCTCTGGGTGGGGACCTCCTCTCCTAGTGCCCCGCCCTGGCCCTCGGATTGACTGATGACAGGTTGACTGAGCCCTTCACTAGCTCAACCAAAGCAGGATCGATCATCTCCTCACCATCTCCTGAGCCACCTCCTCAGCAGCGTCCCGGCCGAGCTGGAACAAGAACTCGATGGCCTGGTTGTCCCGTGGGCGCCCCCCGCGCCGCGCGTCCTCCATGCGCAGCCAGAGCTTGAGGCCCGGCTTCTCGCCGTCATCCTCTTCGGCCAGCTCCACGTGCACACCTCGTTCCTCGCGGAAGAACGCGTGGGCCAGGAGATCCTGAATGGTGAACCTGGGGACCGTGGGGAAGTGAGCCGAGGAGCCCGCTGCCACCCCGAGCTTCCGTCTCCATCTCCGTGCCCTCTCTGCCCCGGGACCCCACCTCTCGTTCTTATCCGTGCGGATGCAGCCTTCAATTATCTCCTTCACCTCCGGCATCTTCACCTTGTAGAAGCTGTTGGGCTTTGTGCCCTGGGAGAAGAGTTGCATGAGGCTTCGGGTTGCCAAATCTCAGGAAGTCTGCAATGCAGGCGGTCTCCAAGGCTCGGGTGGGGGGAGGGGGGAGGGTGCTGGTACTGAGAGACTCGATTTCAAATCCCATTCCCTCCGTATATTGTTGGTGTGGCCTTGCCCAAGACTGCCCGGCTGGTTGTGGTCTCGTTTGTAAAGCGCAGAGCAGAACATTTGCCTGGCTCACCGGGTGGGGCTCCTAGAAAGATCTACTGAGACTAGATGTGAAGTTGTCTGTAAACTCTTAGGATAACACACATTTTTACTAGCTTGTGTGAAGGTTATGTGCATACAATATATTTGCGCTTTGCTGGGGCATCTTTCTGTCTGGCCTGTTTTTATTAAGATAAAGGGTACGGGCTCTACGCAGGCTAGTTCGAGGGCAGGAGAGTGGGAGGGCCTCTGGGGGTCCCTTCTTCCCCGAACCCCACCCTTCTCACCGAAGTGACCTTGCGGTAGATTTGTGCCGCGTTCTGACACTCGGAGTAGGGGTACTCAGATGTAGCCATCTCCAGCATGCACATGCCAAAGGCGTACACGTCCACCGCCTCATCGTACTTTTCCTCATACATCTCAGGGGCCATGAATTCCGGGGTCCCTATTGGACCCACAGAAAAGATCAGGCTTCTTCCTCTTGGTCTCCTCCCTCCACTCGGGTATCATGGGCTAAGTAGTTCAAGGGCAACCCCAGGAGTTCTGGTGACCAACTCTTGCCCAAAGTGTGTGTTGGGGGCAGGAAGAATGGGGTCGCCCTAGCTCGGTAGCTCTCCAAAGCCCTGTTGGAGCCGAGGGGGGGTCCCGCGCTCTTTTCAGACGCAGGGAGCTAGCAATGGCAAGGGCCCTGCTGGACAGACGCACCGATGACGCTCTTGGCAAAGGAGGCGCGCTTGAGTGTGGCCAGTCCGAGATCTCCGATTTTGACAGAGCCTGAAGGGCCGGTAATGAAGACGTTGTCACACTTGAGATCTCGGTGCAGGATAGGGGGCACTCGGGAATGTAGGAAATGAAGTCCCCGCAAGATTTGGCGGCTCCAGCGCTGAAGGACTCGGGGCTTCATTTCGCGGAAGCGCCTCAGGTACCTGGGAGAGGGCGCATAACCATGGTCGCAGTGGGGATATCTATTCCTGGACTGGGAAATTCCCCCTCATCCCACCTTTACCACCATCTCTGCCTCCCCTGCCAGCCTTCTTTTAACTTAGTTCTGTCTGGGCCAAACAGAAACGGAGTCAATGAGGACAGTCAATAGGTTACAAAATGATTCCGTCCGTAAACTCTGTAGATAGGGCCGCCGCCAGAGAGGATGCTGTGGGAGCCCAGGGAGGATGGACTAGCTGTCCCAGGCGTGGGGGAGGACCTCACTGAGGAAATAACGTTTGTCTTGAAGGAGGAGTATAAGTTCAAGGGTGAGACGGGACGGGATGGAGATTTTCCAGGTTGAAGGGCCCCGGGAGTGACAGAGGAGGGTGGGAGGAGTCATCGAGATTGGATTTGTCTGTAACTTAAGCTAGAGAGGAGAGTGTATTTTAGGGGACTTTACCCCGGGGCAGTGGGAAACTTGAAGAGGTTTAGGGAGGGAGTCAAAGGGTGGGATTTCCTCTAGGTTGCGGGAAGATGGGATAACTTGAGGGGTGGGCAGATTGGGAAAGGCCCTTTAGGAAGGCTGCTGTTGTGGGGGTGCGGGTGGTGTAGCAGCAAGGTTGGGGCAAAGATGAGCAGTGGAGACCCAGTGGGAAGATGTTAAACAGACTTAAGAGACCCCACTGTTGAGAGTGTGGGGCCACAACAAAAACACAGGAAGTTTTGGCTGCTGTACTGGGAGGAAGGATATTGTCATTCATACAGATCGGGTAGGTGGGAGATAGCCTGGTTTTAGCTGTAGAAGTTTGGAGTGATTGGGAGAAGTTCCCCTGGGCCTCAGAGTGACAGTGACGTCCCATCCTCCCCCTCCCACCCAGGCCAGAGCTCACGTCTTGAGCGTGCCCGAGGTCATGAGTTCAGTGACCAGCACGATGCAAACCTGGCCCCTCAGCACCGACTTCCACGAGTCATAGAAGCGGACGATGTTGGGGTGCTGCAGCCCCTTGAGCATCTCAACCTCCTCGGAGAATCGCTGCCGTTCAGCTCGAGACAGTTTCCGAGTCTGTGGGATGGGACCATGGGGGTCACATCAGACCCAGACCCCCGGGAAGAAGAGCAGGGGACATTTTGGGTAGAGCTGGGGTGGCGGGGGCGGAAGGGGGGGATGAGGGCAGGAGCATATGGCCGGGGTATGGTTGGTGAGATCGCTAGCCAGAAGGGCAGCAGACCCCCAACTTCTTACTGCTCCAAGAACACACCCATCCTGGGCCTGGGGCAGCACTCTGGACCCCCCGCTGGACACATGCGTCTTTATGCCGCCAGGTCTGGGAGCCGTGCGCTCAATAGCGCCTTTGTGGCCTCCAGAGCCGACCGTGGAAGTTGGGTGGGGGCGGGCTGTGCCCCGGGGCTGGCAGCCGGCAGGCAGCAGGCGGACCACGGGCCGGGAATTGGGGCCGGCAAGAGGTTGGCCCTAAAAACTAGGAACTGCAGCCTCTAGACAGAGGTAGAGGAGGGTACCATGAAAGAGAAGATCCAGGATCAGGGCCAGGAGGCCGCCCCCCATGGCTGGGGCTGCCTCGCGCCTCCTTTTCCCCTCTCCCTCCCCCTCCCCTGAGTCTGGCTGATTCTCCTGGCCTGGCTTAGAGCCTGGGGCGCGGCACTAGCAGGCACTAGGAGAGAGCCCTGTGCCAGGGCCAAAGTGGAGGGACCCTTCCTCCTGGTTTTGTCCCCTAATCTGTATCTTCAATTTCCAGGGCCATTCACACTTAGAGTGGAGCAAGCAACCAGAGGAAGAAAGTCCAAAACGTGCAAGAGCTCAGCTCCTTTGGCAATGGAAAGGGAGACCCCAGGTATGTAGAGGGGTGAGAGGCTGGCCTGGATTCCAGCTTGAACTCGAGCTAACTGTCCCTGCTCCTTGAAACTGTTGAGAAGTCTTCAAAGCTGACTGCTTAAGAAGGGGCTCAGGGAGCCCCCTTCCTGCCACAACTACCCTAAATCTTTTTGGAGGCGGAGAGGACCTTGGCCTCAGCTCCCAGCCTCCCACATCCCAGTCTCCAAGTTTGGAAAGAGGAAGGAGGACGAGCAAGAGGACAAGGGTCACAGCAGAAAGTCTCAGGTCTTAGAGGAAGAAGAGTAAGAGGCAGCGGTGCCCAGGGCAGGAGACTGGAGGGGCTGCCCCTCTACCCACTCAGTTTCCCAAGCCTCAGATTCGTATGGAGGCTTGAAAGTGAGGCTGCCTGTGCGCATTGGCTCATCGGGAGGCAGCATATACCACCTGCCTCAGTTTCTCCTGAACCCACCCAGAGTCAGTGAGATCCTACCAGCAAGGGGAGCAAGGGTTCCTGGATATCTTGACAAGAAAAAACAAAAAACGATCCTTCCCTGATGCTGTCCTCCCGTTTTCCCAACCTCTAAAGGGCCCCATCCCGAGGTACTACAGAGGGGGCGCCCAGCCACACCTGCAGCTCACACCAGGCCACCTCGACCGTGGTGTCGGTGTCTAGCCCTCGATACACGGTCTTGAAGGAACCTCTTCCAATTTCAATGTCAAACTTGAGGTATCGGCCGTCTGGAGACGTTGCCACAGCCTGGGTCTCTGTGTCTTCTTTCTCTTCCTGCTCCCGCCGCCGCTCCCGGGCTGCAGCATCAAGAAGCCTCGGTGGCTCCCGGGACCCGGGACCTCCTGAAGGTCCCGTAAGCTCAGGACTTGCCGAGTCTGCAGCCTTCACCGGGGCTGCCCCGGTCCATGTGTCCTCCGGGGTTTCTTTGGAGCTAGGAGGTGGGCTCCTCGTGGGTCCAGCAGAGTCCGGAGGATCCGGGGGTTCCGGAAGGAGTGAGGCTGGTTGAGACCAGGAGCTCAGGAGTCCCAGATCGACTGAGCTGCGGCGGCTTGGTCGCGAAGAGCGAGGCCGGGGTTCAGCCTTCCCAGAGAAGCGGCGCACTCGGCGAGGAGGTGGCCCCAAGCGGATCGGCCCGGAGGTGAGAGACGGCGGTGGCCGCAGAGCCAAGTCAGCCTCGGTTTGGGACATGGGGACCCCGGTGTCCGTAGTTCGAGGTGCTAGCATGGGGAAGGGCCGGGCGCCGCAGGGCGGAAAGCCAGGCGACTGAAGGCGACGGCCTGACAGGCGGACCGGCTGGGTGCACAGCGCTCTGGCTGAGCTGTTGGGGCCCCAGCCCCCGGCTGGCCGTCCTGGCGACCCGCCCCCAGCTCCGCCCCACGACCCGCCTCCGACTGAGATCGGTTCTCACCCCCCAGGGCCACCCCCTTGTGAGCCTGGCGCGTTGCACCGTGTGGAGCTGGGGTGCTGCCCTCACCTCTGCAGCCCGCCTCTTAGCCCCCCGCCGCGTGCCCTGCTCTCCAGAGTCCCCGCCTTCAAGCCTTCTTCCCTTCCAGAGCCGAGTGAGTGGGAGGCAGCGGCGGGTGTGCTCCCACACAAGGAGAGCGCAAACACGTTTGGGGTGGGGGAGTTGGAGGACACTGAACAGGAGATGAAAAGTGACCGCGGCTCCCATGCCTCAGTGGGGAGGAGGGTGGCTGGGGAGGGGCACCACCAGGCTGCACACCCCTGATAAGGCAGCGCTGCAGGTCCTAATCAGGAGGAGTAGCCCTAGGCCTAACATCGGTGTTGGAAAGGTAAGGTTTTCCTGACTCAGCTAGACCCCAGGTCTGCACAAAGATGGGTGTGTATACTCCAGGACAAGCCCCCCCCCCCAACCTCCAACCAAGAACTGGTCACCCATCAGCTCCACCCCACCTTGGCCTGAGTCTGGCCCTGGCCAGAACGGCTGTTTTTGCTGTGGGCTCTCCTTCCTCCTCTTCTGTTTGCCAAAGTCTTCAATAAACCAAAGTCCACATCCGGTTTACCCCCCAGCTCCCCTTGGCCACAACTACCCCACCCAGACCAGATGGGTGGAGGGAGGGGCTTCAGAATAGTTCAGGACTTCCATGGGGGAGCAATTAAGTGACTCCAATTTAGAGAGCAAGCAGCAGGCTGTCCCCAAGCTGTGTTCCAACACCACTCCCCCACACAACCCACCCAGCACATGGAAAACTACAGGCTCGCTGGAGACCCCAGGCCCAGAGGCCTTTCTCTTGTACAAAGGCCAAAGGCTCCTTCTCCTCTTTCCTTGGCTGGGACTCAATCAGGTGGAACACTGCCCCGCCTTCCACAGTCGGATTCCAGCAGTAGTAACAGGCAGACAGTGGGAGATTTTAATATCATCAATCAGAGTGGGCCTGCCTTTCCCTGCCAAGCCCCCTGGGGCTTCCTATCTCTGTGTTGCCTGGAAGGCTGCCCGCAGCCAGGGCTTCCACCCACCCCTAGGAAGATCCAGCACCAGCCTGAGAAGGGAGGCCACAGCAGCTAAGGAGTGGGAGGGGAGAGGAGAAAGAAGCGTGTGCAGGCGCATATGGGTGTGTACTTATGTGTGAGAACTCATGTAAAGTGTCAGGTTTATAGACCCTGGCCCAGGGACAGTCTAGGATGGGAAAGGAGGTAGGGCAAGAAACATCCTTTTCCCCTGGCACCGTGGGCTCACTCTGTCCCGGGGACAGATAGATGGACTAAGGGGGAAAGATCCCAAGGTCTGAGCTTTCAGGACTTGAGCCCTTTGAGTCGGTGGAGTGACGGGTCCAGTCTGTGGGACACTTGGTCTGTCTCCTTTGGAAAGCCCTGGAAAGGTGGGAGGTGAGAAGCAGAGGGAGACAGGTCTCTGCTAGAAGAACTTGACTCCTCGGCCGTCACTGACAGTGATGATCTCAGCCTTGTGCTCCTGCTGTAGGGCCTGTAGAGCACGCAGCAGGGTGGCCTCATCCAGCCCATGGAACTCTGGAGAGGAAGAGATGGTCAGTCAGGACACTCAGTTCTTTTGGTGGTTGAGCCAGAAGCTCAGCACTCCCAAAGGCAGGATATTCTATTTGTACGCTATCTGTATGGCTGCAGCTGTCGCTCACACTTCCTGGGCATTCCTTGGGAGCTGAGAGTGGAAGGGAGCCTGGGTCAGCATGAAATGAAGCAGGCTTATTCCACCCTTCTCAGTTCTACCCCCAGAGCCCTCTTTCTCTGTGCTGTTACCAACATGCCTTTAGGACCACAAAATAACCCTGATAATCTGACCTAGGCCAGGGCCCATGCACTGACAGTGACCCCATCCAAACATCTGTATAAACCAGGAGGATCTGCCTTAATACATGAAGTATACGCAGCACCCCCTAGCCAAGAGACTGCTAAATTTGGTAGCCAGTATCTGCCCTTTCCTAGTTGAAAGGGAGCCAAAGGCCAGCGGAGTATCCAGAGATACTGGGAAGATACTGTAGAAAGATGTGAGAGGCAGCAGACAAGCCCTAACAGGCTTGCTCACCTCACCCCCTGAGGGAGCCCAGCTCAGGTCAAGGAGTGAGAGCATTCTGGGGAAGCCTCCAGTTGTACAGGCTGAGTGGTGGGCTGGGCCAGGCTGCAGTGCTGAATTCGTGGGGTGATGGTGGGAACAGCAAGCAGAGGCCTGCAGGGCAGGGGGAGACAGCCAAGCGGCGTAAAGTCTGCCGGAGCAGTCACAGCCTGGCAGAACCCCCAACCCCCTTACCCTGGCAAAGACTGAAACTTTTGGTGATCCTGGGGATCAGAATGAAGAGTCACAGGGGGAAAAAAAAAGAGCTAAGAAGTGTTTACCCTATGTAAAAATCAAAGGCCATACAAATCCTTGCCTGGCACAAACCCAACCTTTTTAAATGGGCAAGGGGGTGGGGCTGGGGGTGTTGGCCCAATCCCTTCAGCTGACACCTACAAATCCTGAGCCTTCCATAAGAAGAAAGGGTGAAAGAGAGATTGAGTCAGCAAGGAATGGATTCCAAGTTTAATCCCCCACGCTGGTTCCTTAACTAGCTTCCACGGCAACACTTTTTAACATACTCCTGAAAAATCTTTTAAAAACACACAAACATCCACACCAACAAAAAGAGTGGTTTTGTTTGTTTGTGAATTCAAGTGGTACGGAGTGTTTGGGTGAGAGTTAGGACGTTCTGAACTTTGCTGGAGAAGAGGCCCCGTGGTTAAGAACCCTTGCTGCTCTATGGAGGGAATGCGTTTGGATCCCAGCACCTACACAACTAACAGCTCCCAACAGTTCCAAGGGGTCCAGCCGATGACCCCTTCTGGCCCCCACGGGCACCAGGCATGTTATGTGGTGCATATACATACATTCAGGCAAACACTCATGGACATACCATAAAAATAATCTTTTTGCTGTTGTTGTTTTGAGACAAGGTTTCTCTTTATAGCCCTGTCTGTCTTGGAACTTGTTCTTGAGACCAGGCTGGACTCAAACTCAGAGATATCCGCCTGCCTCTGCCTCCCCAGTGCTGGGATTAAAGGTGTGCACATCACAGCCCAGCTAAAAATAAGTCTTAAAACAGAAACAAACAAACAAACAAAAAACCCAAAACCTCAGAACTTTGCACTGTGGAATCCAGAGACGGAGAAATGGTTAGTCTTGAGACATACTAACCCAGTACCGGAGAGGAGAGGGTTCTGTTAGAGAGCTGGAGGAGAAAGGGCATTACCTTCATCCTCTGTGTCTTCCCCACTGGTCAGTTCATAGAGGGTAAACACAGAGTTGTTCTGGCCGCTCCTGGAAACCTGAGGGCACAACAGATGAGGACTGAGTAAGGACCAAGGATCTCCTGGGAGAAGGTCAACTTCAGCCCTGCCTTTTCCCCAGGAATGCTACCTACTCCCAGATCAGGACTGTCACCTCTGCACTGTCCTCCCCCCATGAACCTACAGGTGCTATATTTGTCTGTGGGTACACACATTTGGAACCACTAAGCCGCAGCCGTTCACGTGTCTCAAAAGTGACCTCTCATCCTGGTTGTTTTCTGTTCAGGAATGGGTGGTGTGTATTTGTTATATTTAGGTTGTTGATGTTTTCCCCCCTCCTTCTCTCTTGGGAATGTTTGGGGCTGGTGGTGACTAGGAATTTGAGGGACAGAAGACTCTGTCCTCCCACCCACACTGGCTCAGAAGGTCTCATTCATGTGAACAACACCATGAAGGCACAGTGGGAGAGGGAACCCAGGTTTTTTTTTTTTCCCTCCCTTCCTTTCCCCATTTATCTCCTGTGGCCAGAGGCTCCAGCCAACAATAGCACTTATGGTTCCCAGTACTACCTTCTCCAAACATGGCCTCACGTAGCCTCTGGCCTCCTACAGGCAAAGAAAGGGAGATTCTGTGCAGGAGAGACATTGAGTCACTGAAGGAAGGCTGCCAGGAAGGCCCGTGCTTCCGGTTTTGCCCACTCCCCACTCTGCCAAGTTCGGATCTAAAAAACACCAGCTATCGGCTGGACACTGGCGGCAATTCTTCTCTGCCATGGGTCACTGCTTAGTGCTTAGCAGGGTGGCCTCACCCATTGATAAATGAGTTTCCCCCATTCTTCTGGCCTCCGCCACATGATCAGGAAGCTAGACTTATTCTTGTCCAGCCACTCGAGGTTCCCTGTAAAACAGATACCTATGAAAGCATCGTGCTCTTAAAAAAGGGGCAGAAAGGCAAATACCGACACGGGACAGCGTGGAGGACTCTGCTTTCAGAATAAGAGATTCAGTATGCAGCTGGGCGATGGTGGCGCACACCTTTAATCCCAGCACTCGGGAGGCAGAGCCAGGAGGATCTCTGTGAGTTCGAGGCCAGCCTGGGCTACAGCGTGAGTTCTAGGAAAGGAGCCAAAGCTATACAGAGAAACCCTGTCTCAAAAAAACCAAAAAAGCGATTCAGTACTATTCTTACTTATAAAGCATCCTATTCTCCTTAGTCTATCTCTCTTCAGGTAGAGGCCATAGAGGGATTTTAATTTTGTATATTAATGGGGGAAAGAACGGGGCCATCTCAGAATACTTAAGGCTTCAAGTTGGAGGAGAGAAAGTCATTAAAATGAAAGAGATGCCCTGCTCTACCCTCAGGAAAACCCAATTAAGAAGAAGGAAATAGGTATCTGAGGGACTGAACCCACCTTTCTTCCTTAGTTCCTCTAGTACAATCTGGATTGACTCTACAGGAAGTTTTCCTGGTTTAAGGTTAAGGGGATGCTCTATGTGGGTAAAATAAATTGGGTAAAATAAAAATGCCCACAGCAGGGCCCATGATGAGTGTCATCTGGACCCTACCTTCCCCTGCGATACATACATGCAATTTTTGAAG